CAGACTCACAAATAAGCATTGTGCACAAGACAATATTTGTCTGACTAAATGAAACACAGGCTGCTGTTGTTTTAAACTGTGAATGGCGAGGCTGCAAGGTTGCGCTGAGGGTCTCTTGTCTGCGGGACGCCTTTGTGAGGACAGGCTTTGTGGCTTGGAGGAAAGCACTTAACCCAGACTGTGTGAGTGAACACATCACCTTCATTAATTGATTTGGATGGAGCGGCGTTCATTAATGTGAGCCCTGTTGGTCTGTTACATAAAGGTTCCTTCTCTTTCAAACCAACGTAAATAATTGGAACTATTTAAAATGAGCTCATTGTCCTGGAATGACATTTTCATACTAATTCTGAATGTTCTCTATGATGTCACCATTAGCATATTTCCTCTTTGTCAGAATCAACCTAAGAAAAGCTTATGTGATTACTAATCAACAGATTTTAATAAGAGTTCTACTTTCAATTATACACATGAAAACAGTTCCTCTCCCTCAAACACTTATAATGAACACCCTCAGTAACTTTAAGGATCTCATCGGTCCATTAAACCATAGGTCTTAAAACAATTGCAGTGGTCAAACAGGAAAGAAGTGGTCAAACAGACAGTCTCTCTGAGCCTGTGGTAGATCGGAGGGGAAACACAGGTGCCCTCTGTTTGACTGGCCTATTAGCACACAGCCCTGAGGGCAGGAAGCACTATTGACTGGAGACATCAAGAGAAACGCACCTTTCAAAGCACACACCTTCCGGACCCAAACACACACACTCCTATATACACCCACCTGGATAGAATCTGCCAGGTATCAGGTACTGCCCCGAGGGAGAGTCCTGAACTCTGGACATGGGGACAGAGTCAACCAAGACCAACACTGGTATCTCCATCAGACGCTTCAAAACATACTTTCCTCACACTCAACATTTCATTTGCTATGCAGTACTATTGTATATCTATCATGAATAACACCAAGATGAAACCCCTCACAAGTACTGATTAAAGATCAGTCAAGCTTAGATTGAAAAGAAAAATACAGTCAACATATATTCAGTGTTTGTCCTGCCTGTCAAGATTAAAAGGTCTAACGGCAGCGAATTGTTGCCTCTAAGCGCTATGTATCGTTATGTTTGTCTGCAGCTCGTGTGTCTGAGAAGCATTGAATCCCTGCCCAGGGAGTGTTGTCACAGGCAGGAGTGTGTGGAAGTGGAGAGGGCAAAGTTAGGTCATGCATTGAAATGCCCTTAAGCCAGGCACTTTACCTTAACTGTTCCAGTGAGAGGCTCCATGGGTACAAAGGCTTACATTCTAAAGGGTATGGAGGAAAGAGTAGAACATCGAAGTGTTATTCATGTTAGTACTGGGTCTGCTTAGCAAATTAAATAAATTTAGAAAAAACAACATATAGAGTGCTGTCTAGGAAAAAGAAAAGGATAGATGTAGCTAGTGCTATTTCTGGACTTACAGCCTCCATGCCCTCACATCTGGTCACCTATGAAAAGGGCCAAATAAAATAGAAGGAAGAGGGCAATAAGAAATACGATGATGAACATGAATCTACTAAGATGAAACAATAAAATGGATAAACAATAGAGTTAATTAAAGAAACAGCATAACTATGAAATGGAGCACCTTTTCTCTTGCTCCTTGTGGTGTGTGTGTGTTACAGTCCAGGGGTTGAGAGGCACACTAGAAACTCTCTACCTCAAGTGGCACGGAGGGAGCTGACAGAGTGGTTCAGTGAAGGGGGGACTAGGGTCCAAATGGAAAAAAGATTCCTGAAAAGATCACAGGGAGAAAGAGAAAATTCAAGAGCTGGACCACAGAGAAAGCCAGCAGTCAAGAGTGGAGCGACTGAAAGGCCAGGGATATAAAAGAGGAGGGGGAGAGGTAGAGGGAGTTAAAAGCAAAATCGAATACAGAGGAGTGTGAGAGAGAGAAATAAAGGGTTAGTGCGGATAAAAGATAAAAAGTAACAAGTAGAGCGTGCGAGGCGTCTGCACCAGATGGACAATGTGTGTCAGGAGGGACATAGTGCAGAGGCAGGAGACAGACGGAGAAAAGGAAGCAAAGAGACAAATATTGTGTGTGTGTATGTGTGTGTGTATGTGTGTGTGTATTTGTGTGTGTGTGTGTGTGTCTATATTAGAGCTTTTGGAATGTTGGATGGCGTTCACAGCAGGATGAGTGTTGTTGTATGGAGGGGCTTATTTTGAGCCTGCTGCCCAATGCAACCGTTGGACAAGCCCCTAATGATCACAACTCTGGCCTGGCCTTTTTAATTACCCAACCAGCCCTGACAGAGCGCCACAAAGCTCTCCAGTCCACAGAATGGGGAGTACAAGGCGGAACAAAAACAGGACCTTTCCATCTGAAGTATGGCCCTAACCTCTGCTAATGCAAGCCTGAGTCCTGCCTGCCTCACTGCCATGGCCACTCTTTGTGCGGAGTGGAGGAGCATGATGGCACTCCAACCCAGCACCACTGCTGCTGTCATGGTCCAAAGGCCATGCATAAAGCCTGGGTCAAGACCCATCCATTGATGAAATCCAAAGTATGCACTGCAATTTTTTCCCTGCATGCATTAAGAAGAAACCCTATGTGAATGTATTAATGTCCATGGGCCTCATTTATCAATATTGCATAGAAACTATTCTAAAATACTACTTAGAACTGAATTTAGAATGGTCATATGCCTAAAAAGTGTGATTTATCAAACAATCCTACCAGCGTCATATGCACACCAGTAGGAGATAACTATTGATAAATTCCAATTTGTTCTCAGCCTCGGTGCTCTTGCAGTACCTTGGCTGTTTGCATTTCGAAACGCCCCTAATTAACCATATATGGTCAAAATCATCCCTTTAAAGCCTGTGGGGTATATACAACGCCGTACCATGAAATACAACCGCACAACCAAAAAAAGCTACAATGTTTTTTTGACTGAAATAGAAGTGCAAGTGTCAGAGATTGAGTACAACCAAAAGGTTTTATTTGGCTCGCTCAGTTGTGGCTTGACCAGTAAAAATAAAAACATACCTACAAAGAGAGGACCATTAGGACAAATGAGTAGGCAACAATCCACAGCCATCCATCCTCAACAGAGGTCTCCTTTAGGCCAGCCTGGTCTCATAGACTAGATGTAATATAGTAAATGTAAAGCCGGGACACTCAAATTAGTATGATATGTTATGTTTGGCATGGTTACATAAGACAGATTGTTACTTAAGGCAAAAACTAAAGTAGGGTGGTTGGGTGGGCGTATAACGCAAACGTCTGGCAACCCAAAGGTTGCGAGTTCAAATCTCATCACGTACAACTTTAGATTTGTAGCTAATTAGCTACATTTTAGCATGTTAGCTAATTCCTAACCTTAACTCTAACCCTAACCCCGAGCCTAGCTAATGCTAGCCAGCTACCTAACGTTAGCCACCTAGCTAGAATTTGCAACATATAGTACATTTTGCAAATTCGTAACATGATACTAATAGTAATTCGTAACATATCATACGAAATGGATGATCGACATCCACAAATTAATACATACCATATGAAAAGTAACATATCATACTAAATGGAGTGTCTTGGATTTATGCACAGAATAATACGAAATGCTCTAAGACCAGGTTGCAGCTGTAGGTGTATAGGCCAACATTGCTGTTCTGCAGAATGAACGAGTCGTGCGTTCCACCTGGCCACCTTGCCAGCACATTCAGCAGCAGCTTTTCCGCATCAAATATTTCTATCACCTGCACATAAAGAGTGGAAGCCTTTTCTTTTCACATAGTTGAAATCGTTTTGGGATGGGGATTTTATGGCGATTTGAGTGCCGTCTATTGCTCCATTCCTATTTGGGAACCCATTGATGACATCATGGCAAAGAAACCCCTCTTGACTTCAACCTGTTGTGCGATTGTGTATGGAAATGGTATGTGTTACTGTTCGTTTAGCTGAGATGGGCTGTGAGATGCAGATCGGCATGCTCCGACTGTTGCATGAATTCACAATGGAAATACAATGAAATCTAAAATGTATTTAATTATTACTCTCACAATTTCACACATTTTCAACATATATTTCCCCCATTCTACTCTTGACAAGGAGTTCCCTTATTCCACCACTTGGCCCTGTGCATATGCATGGTCATGGCTGTGTGTAAATCTACGCACTCTCAAGCAACCGGTCATATTGACAAATCTCACACTTCCCACGCATGGTTTACGCACAGATGTGTGCCTATACATGATTGATAAATGAGGCCTCGTGTTTAACAGGTTAACATTGCCTCAGAACAGTAGGATTTCTGGATTTCTCCTACTGTTGCAATTCATGTACAACAGACCAATAACATGAAGGTTTTCCAAGATGGCTTATTTTCAGTTTATCAGGCAGACACACCTGGAGCATTGTCATGGCCTGAGGCTCCTGCCAATCTTTTGCCAATCATTCACATCTTTCCAATCTGACTTCATCTTAATAGTCTGTTGTTATTCAAATAAATGAATAGGAACCATTTTCACAGAAAATACATACACATAAACATTATCACATTAACCCAGGTCCTGTATCAGCAATAACATAAAATGACATATTTGATGAACCCATGTCTCATAAGAAGGGCCCTTCCTTTATCCTTACCAAGTGACCTGAACAAGAAAAACTCTGGGTCCTAGTAGGCCTGGAAAAAGGTGGTTCCCAAGCAAATTATTTTGTATGTATAAATGATTTATGAATGTACAAATGTTCCTGTTAAAGCTACCAATCTGGATCCTGAAGAGACCAGCCCAGTCAGACAAGGTTAGCCCCATCTGTATTGTCTGTACCCCTCACTGTGTTACCTATTGTCACATCACATTCCTGTCTGTCATCCACAACAGTGACATTAAGGAGCAATGTGGGGGTCTTCTGAAACATCCTGTTCTTTATTGAGACACTCCAGGTTGACCGCGGCTGAAGATGTCACTCTGAAAGAGAACAAAACGACCCAGAATTCCTCCATGTGCCACCGAGAGAGATCAAAAAGTTGTCTTTGTCTGCTATTAATTCCCTTTATGCCATTCCTATTACCACAAGGGCATATGTGACTGGCAGCTCGAAGAATTGGGATGGATAATTGAACTAAACTCAAAAAGTCTAATTGGGATTGATATAAATGAACTATCATAACCTTCTCTGTTCTCAGAAAATAATTGTGATACTTATAGTGAAATGTTACAGTAGTGTTAATCTTTCATGGAGATGCAATCAAAGTATGTTTATATAAAATTACATAAAAGATACAAGAATGCATAACAAAAATGAGCATATTGACATAATTTTGATGATTTGTCAAACTGTATGTGCCTTCATGTGTAATATGCTGTTGTATAGCACCCTCTTGAGGTTATAATTGCACACTGCATATAGACCATATGGAGCAAACAAGTAACATTTTGTAATTGCAGATCCCTTTCTAATAGAAATAAACAGGAATCTCAACATATCACAGAAAATTCAGAGGTGTAGTGTCCATGTGAGTTTTAAAGGGAATAAAATAATTCAGAGACAAACATTATCACTCTTCTTCACCTGTCTCAGCAAGGAGCATTGACTTCTGAGGTTTAATTAAATTTTGTTAAGTTGAAAGTGCACAAATATGAACTAAAATACTTTTATGTAAAGCAAATGTAACAAAGAAAAGGACTCAAGCAAGTTCCCTGAGATTGACTTTTGCCTTCTTGCTAAATAACTGCAAGCTGAAAATGAAAAATGACAGTGCTTGGAAGTAACACATTGTGTCTATGTCCTAAAAAGAGCTATTAAAAACTCATGTAAGAGTCATGTGTGCATCACTTTTGGGCACCTGTTCTCATATGTCCTGGTTGCGTCGCGGTATGATGATCTTGCGATAGGTCCGTCTTTCCGAGATGTTGCGTTTGACTTTGACCACGTGGGGTGAGGCCATCTCCAGATCCAGGGAGGGGCTGGAATGGGACTTCTTCAGGGTTCCCTCCTCCCCCTCCTCATCCACTGTGTCCTTACACACAGCTCTGTCAAACAGGTTGAGCTCGCTGTTTCCCACCTCAGTGTCGACTGACTGGTTCAAACCCTTCCAGGCCTCCAGCATCTGGATGTAGGCCTCGTAGCGACATTTCTGTAGGGAGAGGTGGGGTCAGAGGGATTGTGAGTTAGAGACCAAACAAGAACATACTCACACACACAAACCCACACCGACACACTCATCCCCCTCTCACACACCTCATGCTGCAGGTACTCCTCTCTGACTCGGTGTTCCTCCAGCTCCTTGGCCTTGGCCCTGCGGCTCTCAGGGAGACTCTGCTGCAGGTAGGCCAGGTCCTCCTGGAAGGACAGCAGCATGCGAGCATGGGACTGCAGCTGTCTCTCCTGCAGGGGGCAGCAGAGAGCCAGGCTCAGTGAACAGGCTCACAACACACCAGGTAGAAGGTGTCCCTAACCACAGATCTAGGATCCCTAAACACAGATCTAGGATCAGATTACCCTACTTGCCTCAGCACAACTATAGCACATACAGTGTCAAAGTACTACTATACCCCTAAATATCACAATTTACAAAGATGAAGACAATGCACTAGATTAGAAAACAAAGCAACAGGGACTCTGGGGAGTGAACCAAGAGTGCGAGAGTGTATGGTGAGTACAGTACCAGTTTGTGAGCAGACTGGGAGGCAGGCAGGATGGGTCTGCAGAACCTCCTCTGAGAGCCCACGGCAGCAGGGAAGGGAGGAGAGGAGTGCAGGGCTGACACCAAGTTAATACGGTTGATCCATGAGTTCATCTCTGCTGTGGAGCTGAGGACAACAATAAGTCCATGTACATAGAATACACTGTATTAGTTAACATATATCTAATATTAGTTTTATATTCTGTATAAGAACATATTATGTGAATTAAAGACAAAGTCATGGGATTATTGGACTGTTGCATCCTGATTCATTTGTTTGTTCCTTCACACCATCAAACATATTAGTCCCATGCGTAACAAACGTAGATTCACAATTCCAATACTACATATAGTTCCTGTCTCTCTCTGACACAACCGCTACCATACACACACACAGTAGACTCACGAGGCCTGGAAGAGGAAGACCCTCCAATCGGCGGTCTGCAGACGGAAGACATGTGGTCTCTTGGTGTAGTCTGCTGCCCGCTCTGCCAGGGCATGGTGCACACTGACCACCTCCTCTGTACTCTGCCACTCTGCCATCTTATACTCATCCTGTGGGGGTGGGGGGTTGGACAAGGTAACAAGCAGTGAGGGATTAGTGTGAAAGGCATCCTGGACATTATCAAGAGGCCGTGCAATGGAAAGTATGGAAAAGGAGGAGTTGACAAGAAAGAGGAGGAGGAGGAGATGACTTTAACCTTCTGTAAGTAGAGGACCATTCCCTTCAGCACTCCATTGAAGGTCTTCCAGCTTCTCTTCCCCCAAGGAGCTGTCAGACACAGTTACATTACATCACTCCTGAGGTCAAAGGATTCTTCTCAAACACACTCACACACTAAATAATTTAGTCAGACTGATGAATCATCAAAAGATTAATCAAAACACTATGATGCTATTGTACACGGTTCATTGCCCTGACATTTTAGTTCCTATGTTTTTGTGCAAACAGTGTCACAATCCAACTCACTGCGTTTGCCATCGATGTCAGCGTGGGTCTTGCGATTGAGAAAGCCCTGTTTGAACACTGTGGCCTTCTTGTCATGAGGCACATCTTGGAACGGGTTGCTCTTGGAGCGCAAGGGTGCGTCCTCTTTAGCGTCCTCCGCCAACAGCATGGAGCTCTTCAGTTCCTTCTCATCACTGCACAGGGCATATAGAGAGGGGAGGGGAGGAATGAAGAAGCAATGGAGATTAAATAAAAGAGGAATTCAAATATGAGAGGTGAAATGAAATCCAAATATATTGGGGAAAGCAACAGGAAGGCTTACAGTTTGTACATCAGCATTGGGGACAAAGGGATACTGAACAGCTGGTGGTAAATAGTTTAGAATAATGTTACCCACTTCCTTGTTCTTAAATCAGACTACTTACACTGCCCATTCCAGAGGCTCGTTCTTAATGGAGTTGTAGAGAGCCTGAGAAAGAAACAAGAGAAAGAAGGACACTGAAAGGACACTTAAGTCTTACATAAGGACACTTAACAGTCTGTACTGAAATATTGAGTAGGTGTGGAATGAGGAGTATAATCTTACCTTTAACAGCTCCTTGCTGAAGTTCTCATCCACATTCATCCCATCCAGGTTGGAGATGAAGCTGGACACAGACATGGCTTTACCCACATTCTGAGGACAGACACACAAACATGATGTTTAAATGTGTACATATCCCACAACACCATTTCCTCAACACCATTTCCTTTCAGTGAAAGGCCTGAATATCTGCATGTTTGCCACAGTATTTCATCACTGCAGTGGGGACTCACCTGTCCATGCAGATCAGAGTTCAGAAGCATCACAGCACAGGTGAGTGTGAGTACTTCTCCTGAAGAGGAGAAGGTGTGAGGGTTGCACTGCTGGAAGCGACAGGAGAAATGCTGCAGTACTCGCTCTCTCTCCTGGGTCTCACCGATTAGCACCACCACCCTCAGGAAAGACCTGGGAGAGGCGGGCAAAATAGAGGAAGTAGAAGATGATTTATCAATGGAAGATGTTAATTTAAGAGCAATACTTGTTACTATTATAGTGAACTAAGAGAAATATAATAATAATAATATGCCATTTAGCAGACGCTTTTATCCAAAGCGACTTACAGTCATGCGTGCATACATTATTTTTATTTTTTTTGTGTATGGGTGGTCCCGGGGATCGAACCCACTACCTTGGCGTTACAAGCGCCTTGCTCTACCAGCTGAGCTACAGAGGACCACAGAAAGTGTGAAGGACTTACCTCAGGCCTTGGTCCAGACTCTGACCGGTGAAGTCAAAGAACTTAAGGTACTCCTCCCCAACAGCTTGGCTAAAGACATTGCTGAATTAGAGAGGGGCAGAGAAACAAGGACAGGTCAAGTTCATGATTCAAGGTGACACATTCTGAGAAAAAAAACTCTGAACATACTGCATAAGACCCATGTAATGTAAAGTTTGGCCACTCCGTGTTTTGCAGCCTTTAGTTCTTACTCTTTGTCTAGGTGTTTGACCACGTCTGTCTTGTGGATCCCATCCAGCCTGTAGAGTCTTTCAGCCAGCCTGCAGGCCCTCTCCCTGTCCAAACCTCCACCATTCATATGGACCACCACTGGTTCTGAGGCCTCCGTTTGCTGTACCTGAGACTCGATTTGCTCTCCACTTCCTTCCCTGGGCAGCAAACATGAATCCTCTGTATACTCTTTCGGTTCCAATTGTTCTACCTGCTTGGAATGCTCTGTCTGCTCATCCTCTTCTGTCAATTCAGTCAGTGCAGTCTGCGCTGGCTGTTCAATCTCTGAGTGTTTCTGCTCTTCTGTATGGTCTGACTGTTCAACAAAACGTAGTTCTAACTGCTTTGAATGTACTGGTTTGTTATCTGTCTGCTCTGACTGTTCTGTCTGCTCTGACTGTTCCGTCTGCTCTGACTGTTCCGTCTGCTCTGACTGTTCCGTCTGCTCTGACTGTTCCGTCTGCTCTGACTGTTCCGTCTGCTCTGACTGTTCCGTCTGCTCTGACTGTTCCGTCTGCTCTGACTGTTCCGTCTGCTCTGACTGTTCCGTCTGCTCTGACTGTTCCGTCTGCTCTGACTGTTCCGTCTGCTCTGACTGTTCCGTCTGCTCTGTCTGTTCCGTCTGCTCTGACTGTTCTGTCTGCTCTGACTGTTCCGTCTGCTCTGACTGTTCCGTCTGCTCTGTCTGTTCCGTCTGCTCTGACTGTTCTGTCTGCTCTGACTGTTCCGTCTGCTCTGACTGTTCCGTCTGCTCTGACTGTTCCGTCTGCTCTGACTGTTCCGTCTGCTCTGACTGTTCCGTCTGCTTTGACTGTTCCGTCTGCTCTGACTGTTCCGTCTGCTCTGACTGTTCCGTCTGCTCTGACTGTTCCGTCTGCTCTGACTGTTCCGTCTGCTCTGACTGTTCTGTCTGTTCTGACTGTTCCGTCTCCCCTGATTGTTTTGACTGCTCAGAATCTTCGGAGTGTTCCATCTGCTTTGATGGTTCTGTCTGTGGTTCCATCTGCACTGAAAATTCTGTCTGCTCTGAGTGCATTGTTTGCTCAGAATGTTGTGTCTGTTGCAATTGTTTTGATTCTAAACATTCTGTCTGCTCTGACTGTTCCATCTGCTCTGATTCTTTTGATTGTTCTGAGTGTTCTGCAGGTTGTAAATGGGCCTCTTCAGTTTGATGTTCTTCCTCCCCTGACTGATTTGAATGCTCTACCTGGTCGGACTCTACAAGTTTCTCAGACTCTTCTTGCTGCTCTGTTGTCTCTGTGTTGTCTTTGTATTCACTCTGTTCTGTGTGGTTAGGCTCTGACTGCCCACTGTGTTCAGACTTCTCTGTGAGTTCTGACAGTTCTTTCAGTTCAGCTGGCTCAAACAGGTGCTCTAAGAGTTCTATCATCTCAGATTCCCCCTCACTGTCTGACTGTTCCCTCCCCTCTGACTGCTCGGTCTGTTCCGTCTGCTCGTCACAATCTCCATTATAATCTAAATTAGTTACAGTCTGTTCCTTCTCCTCCTCCTCTTCCTTCTCCTCATAGTTCGTAGAGCTTGATCCTTGCTCTGAACTGATCAGTATAGTTAGCACTCTGCCAGTCTGTTTCTGTTCCTCTCCCAGTACAGAGTCTAGACTCTCACTCTCACTCTCACTATCCAGCCCAGTCGCTGACTCTCCTGTCTGTACAGGGCTAGGAGCTCGGTCAGAGGGTGGGATAGTCTCTTCTGTCACAGGCTGTCCCATCCCTTTCTCTGTCTCTGGCCGTGGAGAGCTTCCTAAAAGAGAGTCTGAACACACAGACACCCATATTAACATTGACCGAGTTACTCTGTACTTTATGAAGTAAAAGTGGCATGAGAAGTCAAAAGCATTTGAAAGGGTTGCATCTATCAGAATATGTCAAGAATTATTCAATGAACTGTACAAAATTAAAATTGGGGTGGAACGATCAGTGTTTAGAAAAATGCAAGCTGTATGCTAATATAAGTAGCAAAGCCCATGCCCCGCCCACCTAAGGATCTCTCCTTTTCAGACATCTATTTCCTGTGTTTGGGGGGTGCAAAATCCACTTGTCACTTAAATCATGTCGCTGGATTGATTGCTTTCATTTTACTCAGGTGACTCTTTCCCACTCTTGCTTGTGTCATTGTTTTTTTCCCTTAACGTAACGACTGCAAAAACGTGTAATTACCCATCAAACACACTCCGGTAATGGCTGAAATGAGCTCAATGGATTACATTGGCTTTCCGTTGCATCTATAAGAATGCTTCGTCTGAGATTAAACGCACCGTCTCGACACTTACATCACAAGAAAGAGAAGAAAGTTAACTTTATGTTGATGGGTGTTGATTTTTTGCGCAATTGTAAAAAGTAATGATTTAATACAGTTGAAATCTTTACAAATTAGATGCGCTGAAATAAAAGCAACTTCAGAAAATGAACACTTGGATTAAAGTTAAATTATGTCTGATTTCGCAAATAATGTAAAGTATGTATTGATAGGTGTAATTTAGAGCCAGGCGTTTTGATTTTAAATCGCATAGTATCCTTCTCTTGACACACTTGTTGAATTATGCAAGAATACATGACAACAACAGTAATTAATAATTAATGAGGCAGTCTAGCCACAGGTATAAGAGACAGGGCAAGTTTTTGGTGGTTGCAGCCCAGTTCCACCCCTTTATATACATTTTGTCATGTATGCAAATGAAAACAGTGTATACAGTGCATTCGGAAAGTATTCAGACCGCTTCACTTTTTCCACATTTTATTACGTTACAGCCTTATTCTAAAATGGATTCAATAAAAAAAAATCCCAATCAATCTACACACAATACCCCATATTGACAAAGCGAAAACAGGTTGACATTTTTGCACATTAAAAAAACAAAAAAAAAACGAAATACCTTATTTACATAAGTATTCAGATCCTTTGTATGAGACTCGAAATTGAGCTCAAGTGTGTTTCAATATGCTTTGCGTTGTAGTCACGACAGACAAAGATATATAGTTAAGCAAACTTTACTAGGCATGTTGTCAACCCGCACATTCATACAGTAAGTCCCAACTGGTTTCCGTTTCCTGTGTAACATCAATACGAGTAACATCAATATTGCTACATGTTCTCTTTATTTTTTTTATTTTTTTTTATTTTTACAACAAAGGCAGACTCCACCTAACTTTGGCTTGTAGTCCATGTCTGCAATAAACTGGAACGTGAACTGAATGTTTGTTTACTGTCTCTGACTGTCCATTAATTATTATTATTTTTACCTTCCCACAAAGTCTTTCAGGTGTATAGGTCTTCGGATGGCCCTACCAGACCTTGTGTGGGGAGTGTTGATTACATCAGGAGGTGCTTGACCTGAGATGTTTGGATCTACTTGTTGAGGTGCAGCGTCCACCTCTAGGTTGTGTTCAGCACCCTGCTGGGTGTCAGCTGGTGCTCTGTTTACTGGCTCTGTGCCAGGCTCCTCAACAGTGGGGAAATCCTCCTCTATTTCTCTGCTCTTCCTCAGGTGTCGCCTGTTCCTCCTGAAGACTTGTCCCTGTTCTGTCTTCACCTCATAGGACCTTTGCTCCACTGGTCTGACTACTGTGGCCCTCTGCCACCAGTGTTTCTGTCCTGTGATTGGCTGAACTCTCACCCTGTCATCTCGATGCAGCTCTGTAAGATCCTTAGCAGAGGTGTCGTAGTACTTCACCTGTTTCTGCTGTCTTTCTTTGAAGTTCTCCAGCTGACAGTTTACCATCCCCGGTCTCAGAAGATTTTCACTCATTATAAGTAGTGTCTTTGTACGTCAACCCATGAGCACCATTGCAGGGCTGCTGTCTGTTCCTTGTGACGGGGTATTTCTGTGATCCAGCATGGCCAGGTATGGGTCAGCACCTGCTCTCTTTGCTTTTGCCATCAGTCTTTTGGCTGTTTTCACTGCCGATTCCACTTTCCCATTACTTTGCGAGTATCCTGGAGACTATGTTTTGTGTGTAAAGTCCCAAGCCTTGCTGAAACTTCGGAACTCGTCTGAAGAGTACTGGGGACCATTGTCTGAGTAAAGGATGTCAGGTATCCCATAGCGTGCAAAGTGTGTCTTCAGTTTTCGAATGACCGTTTTCGACTGTGTGTTCTCCAAATGGTCCACTTCCCAGAAGTTGGAGAGATAATCAACTGTGACCATGTAGTCTCTGTCGTTGAACTGGAACAGGTCAGTCCCTATTTATTCCCAGGGACGCTTTGGTGCTTCATGGGGCCTCAACGTTTCTTTCTGCTGCTTCATACCCCATGCTGTGCAGGTACTACATTGTACTATGTATGTTCACAGCTGTGCATTCATGCCTGGCCAGTAGACACACTCGCGAGCTCTTCTCAGACATCCCTCTGTTCCTATGTGTGAGGAATGGATTCTCTGCATTATCTCTGACCTGAGGGCAGTAGGCACAACGACTCGCTCACCTCTGAAGATAACTTCATTTTGCACACTCAGCTCATCTCTGTTGTGAAAATACATGGCTACTTCCAAGGGTACATGTCCTTTCACTTCAGGCCACCCCTGCAGGATCACATTTTTCAGTGTCTGGAGCTCCCGATCCAGCTCAGTGGCTCTCTGGATGTGCTTTAGTCTCTTGCTTGACACAGGGAGGTAGTGTATCATATTGATTGATTCCACTTCGACCTCCACAGGGCCTCTGTTGTCTTGTTCTGTGAGGTATGCCCTGCTCAGGGTGTCGGCCAGAACCACATGTTTTCCAGAACGTATCGGAGACTGACCTCATAGTTTTGGAGTCTCATGAGCATGCGTTGTAGTCTTTTTGGTGCGCTGAGGAGAGGCTTTGTCATGATGCTCTCTAGAGGCTTGTGATCTGACTGCACTTCCACAGTTCGTCCATATGTGAATTGGTGGAACCTCTCCATGCCAAACACCACTGCAAGCAGCTCCTTCTCTATCTGTGCATACCCTTTTTCAGTCTCTGTCAGGGCTCTGCTGGCGTATGCTATTGGTTGTCCTCCCTACATTAAGGCTGCTCCTAACCCACTCTCTGAAGCGTCACACTGTAGTACAAGCTGCTCTGTTGGGTTGCAGTATTTCAGCACAGGGGTCTGTGCAATGGCATCCCTGATTTGATTGAAAGCCTGCTCATGTCTCTCTGACAACTCCCAAAGTGAGTCCTTGTGTGTTAGCTGTCGCAGTGGCTCGCAGAGCTCCGTGGCGTGGCTGCAGAACTTGGCTAGGTAGTTTACCATGCCCAGGAAGCGCTGCACCCCCTGCACATCTGTAGGCCTAGGCATCTGTTTAATGGCTGTCACTTTTCCTGGGTCCACTTTCAACCCCTCTGATGTTAGCAGGTGGCCAATGTAGGGCACTTCCTTCAGCCTGAGCTGCAGCTTCTCCGGATTCAGCTTGATATTGAGCTTCCTACATCTGTCCAGGAGCATTTTCAGGTTTTTGTCGTGGTCCAGAGTCGCCGCTTCATCGTTGTCTCCTTCTCCCACAATCAGGATGTCATCTGCAATGATTTTGACTCCTGGAAGACCTTCCATTGCCTGGTTCAACTTCCTCTGAAAGATCTCTGGGGCTGGACTGATTTCAATTGGCATGCGCAGCCACCTGTAGCGTCCCATGGGAGTAGAGAACGTGGTGCGATTGCTGGATTCCTCCTCCAGTTCCACATGCCAAAATCCATTTTTTACATCACAAACAGAGAACACGCGTGCTCTGTTCAGATCAGGCAGCACGTCTGCAATAGTGGGAAGTGGGTAATGGCTCCTCTTGAGCGCCTTGTTGAGAGGTTTCGGATCAATGCACACTCTTAGTATTCCAGACGGTTTCTTCACTACGATCAGGCTGCTAATTATCATCCTTCTTTTCTCTAGACCACTGAGCTCCTCTTTAAGTGGTTTATATAGTGCTACTGGCACTCTTCTCTTTGGCAGCTGGACGGGCTCCACTCGTTCATCCACTTCCAGCTTCAGTTTGCCGGATAAGCATCCATCTCCCTGGAATACATCAGAGTACTCTTGTTTAATTTGCTCTTTAGTCCAGGATCCTGTTGTTTTCTCGATGGCCAGGATGTTGTGATGCTGCACAGTAATCAACTCCATTGCCTGGATAGCCTTACTGCCTAGAATGGGCCTGTGCACATTCTTGTTGACTACGATGAACTCAACTCGGTAGGTTTTCTTATTGCGTGGATTGATCACTTTAAGTGTAAACTTCCCCAGTGGCGTCAGAGTACTCTTGTTATACATCACCAATACCTGACTGCAGGGCTCTAGGTGACTGGCTTTTATGAGGTTTGCAGGGATAACATTACAACTAGCACCACAATCTAGCTGAAATCTGACTGACTTTTTGTTGACCAGCATGGTTGCAAAACGAGCTGCATTGGGGTCTGTGGTTTTCTCCTGCACCACGTTGATGCTCTCTGACTTTGGCCCTAGTGTGATGCAGAAAACATCCTCATCGCTCTCTGAGTCAGCTAACGCATTTTCCATTGCCAGGACTCTGTTTCTCTTGCTGGTCCCTGCACTTTTGCAAACCGTAGAGAAGTGATTGTTTTTTCCACAGGTTTGACATTTTTGTCCATATGCAGGGCATTTTTCCTTTTTCCTCTCATGTGTCCGTCCACAGTATCTGCATTGTATAATGCTCTGTCCCTCTGTAGGGTCTCCTCTCCCTCTCTGTCTATCTTTCTGTGTTACTGCATGCACTGCTACAGGGCCCTGCACATTTATGACTTTAGCTCTCTGTCTGAACTGTTCTGCAGCTCTTCCAATCTGTATGCATTTCTCTAAACTGAGATCAGTCTCTCTGAGTAAGCGCTCTCTTAAGTGTGGGTCACATGTGCCACACACAATCCTGTCCCTGATAAGAGAGTCTGTGATTACTCCAAAGTTGCAGGTGGCCACTAGAGTCCTCAATTCAGTGAGATATTTGTCTAAACTCTCATCTTGGCCCTGACTTCGCATGAAAAAATTATATCTCTCAATTGTTTCATTTTTCTTGGGATCACAAAATGCATCCAGTGCTGCAATTACTTCCTCAACAGAGATATTGTATTTTGTACTGCCCACACATAGAGTCTCACAAATCTCTCTGCCTTTTCCCCAATGAGATAATACAGTAGCTTCACTTTGTAATCCTCAGGTTTTTCTCTCATTGTAAGAGCCATGTACAAATTGAATTCCTCTTTCCATCTTTTCCAGTTCAGTGCTAAATTACAATCATCAAAGTCTATTTTTCCCGGAGGTTTCAGTGCATTTTCCATGGCGATTTATTCGTAGAATGGAACGTTAGCTACTCACAAATCTGCTTGTATCCAATAGCCAGCTAGCTATTGGATACGATAGCTAGCTAACGTTAACGTTCGGCGCGATGACTAGCCTGTAAATGCGGCACTTTTTCAAACTGCCGCCTGGGATGTATTCTTCCTTTACATCGATGAGATCCAGGTTCTTTTGAGTACCGCTGCCACCATGTTTTAATATGCTTTGCGTTGTAGTCACGACAGACAAAGATATATAGTTAAGCAAACTTTACTAGGCATGTTGTCAACCCGCACATTCATACAGTAAGTCCCAACTGGTTTCCGTTTCCTGTGTAACATCTATATGAGTAACATCAATATTGCTACAAAGTGTATCCTGTTTCCATTGATCATCCTTCAGATGTTTCTACAACTTGATTGGAATCCACCTTTGGTAAATTCAATTGATTGGACATGATTTGGAAAGGCACACACCTGTCTATATAAAGGTCCCACTGTTGACAGTGCAAAAACCAAGCCATGAGGTCGAAGGAATTGTCCGTAGAGCTCCGAGACAGGATTGTGTGGAGGCACAGATCTGGGGAAGGGTATCAAAACATTTCTGCAGCATTTAAGGTCCCCAAGAACACAGTGGCCTCCATCAATCTTAAATGGAAGAAGTTTGGAACCACTGAGACTCTTAGTAGAGCTGGCCGCCCGGCCAAACTGAGCAATCAGGGGAGAAGGGCCTTGGTCAGGGAGGTGACCAAGAACCCGATGGTCACTCTGACAGAGCTCCAGAGTTCCTCTGTGGAGATAGGACAACCTTCCAGAAGGACAACCATCTCTGCATTACTCCAACAATTAGGCCTTAATGGTAGAGTGGCCAGACAGAAGCCACTCCTCAATAAAAGGCACATGACAGCCCGCTTGGAGTTTGCCAAAAGGCACCTAAAGGACTCTCAGACCATGAAAAACAAGATTCTCTGGTCTGATGAAACCAATCCTGAACTCTTTGGCCTGAATGCCAAGCGTCACGTCTGGAGGAAACCTGGCACCGCTCATCACCTGGCCAATACCATCCCTACAGTGAAGCATGGTGGTGGCAGCATCATGCTGTGGGGATGTTTTTCAGCGGCAGGGACTGGGAGACTAGTCAGGATCGAAGGAAAGATGAACGCCATAAAGTACAGAGAGATCCTTGATGAAAACCTGCTCCAGAGCGCTCAGGACCTCAGACTGGGGCGAAGGTTCACCTTCCAACAGGACAACAACCCTAAGCACACAGCCAAGACAACACGGGAGTGGCTTCCGGACAAGTCTCTGAATGTTCTTGAGTGGCCCAGCCAGAGCCCGAACTTGAAACCGATCTAATATCTCTGGAGAGACCTGAAAATAGCTGTGCAGCGACGCTCCCCATCCAACCTGACAGAGCTTGAGAGGATCTGCAGAGAAGAATGGGAGAAACTCCCCAAATACAGGTGTGCCAAGCTTGTAACGTCATACGCAAGAAGACTCGAGGCTGTAATCGCTGCGAAAGGTGCGTCAACAAAGTACTGAGTAAAGGGTCTGAATACCTATGTAAATGTGATATTTCCGTTTTTGATTTTTAATACATTTGCTAAAATTTCTAAAAACCTGTTTTTGCTTTGTCATTATGGGGTATTGTGTGTTGATTAATGAGGAAAATCCATTTTAGAATAAGGCTGCAATGTAACAAAATGGGGGAAAAGTAAAGAGGTCTGAATACTTTCCGAATGCACTGTATATGCAAGTGAGGCACATATAATTTTATTTATTTTATCACAAAGTATATATTTTTTACCTGATATACAGTGAGGGAAAAAAGTATTTGATCCCCTGCTGATTTTGTACCTTTGCCCACTGACAAAGACATGATCAGTCTATAATTTTAATGGTAGGTTTATTTGAACAGTGAGAGACAGAATAACAACAAAAAAATCCAGAAAAACGCATGTAATTTTTTTTGGAAATTGATTTGCATTTGTCACGCCCTGATCGAGAGAACTCTCATTGGTTGGGTCAGGGTGTGAGTTTTCTGTTGAGTTCTATGTTATGTATATCTATGTTTAGGATCTAGAATGTGTATTTCTAGGTTTGGCCGGGTGTGATTCCCAATCAGAGGCAGCTGTCGCTCGTTGTCTCTGATTGGGGATCATACTTAGGTAGCTTATTTCCTACGTTGCATTGTGGGATCTTGTTCCGTTTAGGCTTGTATGTGTATAGCCTGAGGACTTCACGTTACTGCTTGTTTTGTTGTATGTTTATTGAGTTAATAAACATGTACGCTTTTCACGCTGCACCTTGGTCCGACCCGTCTCTCAACGATCGTGACAGCATTTTAATGAGGGAAATAAGTATTTGACCCCTCTGCAAAACATGACTTAGTACTTGGTGGCAAAACCCTTGTTGGCAATCAGAGGTCAGATGTTTCTTGTAGTTGGCTACCAGGTTTGCACACATCTCAGAAGGGATTTTGTCCCACTCCTCTTTGCAGATCTTCTCCAAGTCATTAAGGTTTCGAAGGCTGACGTTTGGCAACTCAAACCTTCAGCTCCCTCCACAGATTTTCTATGGGATTAAGGTCTGGAGACTGGCTAGGCCACTCCAGGACCTTAATGTGCTTCTTCTTGAGCCTATCCTTTGTTGCCTTGGCCGTGTGTTTTGGGTCATGCTGGAATACCCATCCACGACCCATTTTCAATGCCCTGGCTGAGGGAAGGAGGTTCTCAGCCAAGATTTGACGGTACATGGCCCCGTCCATCGTCCCTTTGATGCGGTGAAGTTGTCCTGTCCCCTTAGCAGAAAAACACCCCCAAAGCATAATGTTTCCACCTCCGTGTTTGACGGTGGGAATGGTGTTCTTGGGGTCATAGGCAGCATTCCTCCTCCAAACACGGCGAGTTGAGTTGATGCCAAAGAGCTCTATTTTGGTCTCATCTGACCACAACACTTTCACCTAGTTCTGCTCTGAATCATTCAGATGTTCATTGGCAAACTTCAGACGGCCCTGTATATGTGCTTTCTTGAGCAGGGGGACCTTGTGGGCGCTGCAGGATTTCAGTCCTTCACGGCATAGTGTGTTACCAATTGTTTTCTTGGTGACTATGGTCCCAGCTGCCTTGAGATCATTGACAAGATCCTCCCGTGTAGTTCTGGGCTGATTCCTCACCGTTCTCATGATCATTGCAGCTCCACGAGGTGAGATCTTGCATGGAGCCCCAGGCCGAGGGAGATTGACAGTTATTTTGTGTTTCTTCCATTTGCGAATAATCGCACCAACTGTTGTCACCTTCTCACCAAGCTGCTTGGAAATGGTATTGTAACCCATTCCAGCCCTGTGTAGGTCTACAATCTTGTCCCTGACATCCTTGGAGAGCTCTTTGGTCTTGGCCATGGTGGAGAGTTTGGAATCTGATTGATTGATCGCTTCTGTGGACAGGTGTCTTTTATATAGGTAACAAGCTGAGATTAGGAGCACTCCCTTTAATAGTGTGCTCCTAATCTCAGCTCGTTACCTGTATAAAAGACACCTGGGAGACAGAAATCTTTCTGATTGAGAGGGGGTCAAATACTTATTTCCCTCATTAAAATGCAAATCAATTTATAACATTTTTGACATGCGTTTCTCTGGATTTTTTTGTTGTTATTCTGTCTCTCACTGTTCAAATAAACCTACCATTAAAATTATAGACTGATCATTTCTTTGTCAGTGGGCAAACATACAAAATCAGCAGGGGATCAAATACTTTTTTCCCTCACTGTATGAGTGCATAACAAAGTGACATTTTACAATAAATGGAATACCTGAATTCCCACCAAAATGCCTGACCTTGTTTTATTCTAAAAATATGGAGCATCTTCATCTATTGTCCAACTGATGCATTTTTTACCTTTTAACAATTTATAACATAAGAGTTAGCCTGTGATTAGTTTGTGAACAATGACTAGGGCCTGCACTCACCATGGTCCTCAAATAGCTGTTGTGCTGAAGCCTCCGCTTCCTGTGTATGTGCTGCATGCTCCTCCACATCTGGGCTTGGTGTATCACATGCCTGGAATTGCAACAGCAGTTGTCAACAATAAACATCGGGCCAGGAAGAACTTGTGATTAAGTAAGACGTGGGTTGATCATCACTCAGACAGAAGGGACCTTGGTCTCAGATGACTGATATGTATAACGGTATATATTCCATCCACCTCTTCCCCACCTATGACTGAAACCTAAATACTGGTGTCTATGAACACAGAGGTAGTGGTATTTTATCACCCTAAATATTATCTTCCTCTTGCACTCTCTCAGACAGACAAACACACACACACACACACACACACACACACACACACAGTACCCAATGCTATCATCTCAAACAGACACACAACCACAGTCCCTCCCTGTCGGGCTGACGTACCGGATGGGAGTTTTCACTCTGGTCTGTATCCAGAGGCAACTGTTGCTCCGGTCTATTGTGCTTCTCGGTCTTCTCCTGGACAGACAGCTCTATGTTTATCACTGTCATACAGGATTCATGCTGCTGCTGCTGGTGGAGGGACAGCGGGCTCACAGTCCAGTCCAGACTGGCTGCTCCACTGGAGTCCAGCTCATCAGCCAAGCTGTTGTCAGTCATGGGGAAGGGCGTGTCAGGGGAAGGGTCAGGCATGTCCCACTGCACTGTGGCAAAGGACATAAGGACACTGGGACAGGTCATGGGGTACACAGGTAAAGTCATGGAGTCCCAGTGCTCATCTGGCTCCTCAGAGGTCCTTCCAGTCTGAGGAGAGTTGTCCTCTTTCACCCTGTCTGCCTCGTTCACCTGCTCCCCCATCTCTCCCCACCCAATATCCTCCTCCAGTGGCCTGCTTGGTGGTGGGAGCTCCATAGAGGTCCATGTCTGGCTGTCTGGCTCCCTGAGGTCTGGGAGAGGAGAGCACACCCTAGCCTCCTCCATAACCTCTCTCTTCACTCAGTCCTAAGCAGAGAGATACGGTTCAGCTTAGTTCAGTCTCGTTCCTCTGTGCAGGGCAGGGTAACCATCTCGGAATTAGGTCACAATGATGCTGTCATGGTAGACTCCTGTGGTTGGTTACAGCTTCCGGTGCTGCCCTAGTAAGCAAGAACATTCATGTACAATAAAATGACTACACAACATACATTCATCCAAACCCCAGAGTAACTACTGACTCCTCGCTCATAAATTCCCAAAAGTAGTGTTTGTAGAGTAGGGTGACCAGACGTCCCCAATTTCCGGGGAGAGTCCCTGATTTTGGTGACCTGTCCCTGTCTAGAGCTGTCCCCGGAAATGTCCCAGATTTGCCTTCAGAAAGAAAAAAGCAACTCTAGAAGTTAAATTGAGGCTGATAATTCAATAATCAAATGCTGTATCCAATCAGATTTGCATGTAAAAATGTCTGTCCCTGTAACAAAATCTTTGAGAACCTTATAAGAACGTTTGATCAGTGATATATTGTGACCACCGCATGAACAACCATGGCCAGAAAGTGTTGCCTCAAACAGCATAGGCTACCAAACTTGGATGATTCTGAAATTACTAAATAGGCTAAGATTAAGAAAACTGTTGAGAGGTAATCCATTTCTCTGTTATAATTAATACAAATATTTGAGAGGCATATAGTGAAAATGTATAGTTAAATATAGTTTCATACAAAAATATACACTACCAATCAAAAGTTTGGACACACCTACTCATTCAATTTTTTCTTCATTTTTACAATTTTATACATTGTAGAATAATAGTGAAGACATCAAAACTATGAAATAACACATATGGAATCATGTAGTAACCAAAAAAGTGTTCAACAAATCAAAATATATTTGAGATTTGAGATTCTTCAAATAGCCACCCTTTGCCTTGATGACAGCTTTGCACACTCTTGGCATTCTCTCAACCAGCTCCATGCGGTAGTCACCTGGAATGCATTTCAATTAACAGGTGTGCCTTGTTAAAAGTTCATTTGTGGAATTGATTTCCTTCTTAATGCGTTTGAGCCAATCAGTTGTGTTGTGACAAGGTAGGGGGAGTATACAGAAGATAACCCTATTTGGTAAAAGACCAAGTCCATATTATGGCAAGAACAGCTCAAATAGCAAAGAGAAATGACAGTCCATCATTACTAAGAGACATGAAGGTCAGTCAATACGGAAAATTTCAAGAACTTTGAAGGTTTCTTCAAGTGCAGTCACAAAAACCATCAAGTGCTATGATGAAACTGGCTCTCATGAGGACCGCCAGAGGAATGGAAGACCCAGAGTTACCTCTGCTGCAGAGGATACGTTCATTAGAGTTACCAGCCTCAGAAATTGCAGCCCAAATAAATGCTTCAGAGAGTTCAAGTCACAGACACATCTCAACATCAACTGTTCAGAGGGGACTGTGTGAATCAGGCCTTCATTTTACATTTTACATTTTAGTCATTTAGCAGACGCTCTTATCCAGAACGACTTACAGTTAGTGAGTGCATACACATGGTCGAATTGCTGCAAAGAAACCACTACTAAAGGACACCAATAAGAAGAAGAGACCTGCTTGGGCCAAGAAACACGAGCAATGGACATTAGACCGGTGGAAATTTGTGTAGTTCCCACCGTAAAGCATGGAGGAGGAGGTGTTATGGTGTGGGGGTGCTTTGCTGGTGACACTGTCTGTGATTTATTTAGAATTCAAGGCACACTTAACCAGCATGGCTACCACATCATTCTGCAGCGATACGCCATCCCATCTGGTTTGGGCTTAGTGGGACTATCATTTGTTTTTCATCAGGACAATGACCCAACACACGTCCAGGCTGTGTAAGGGCTATTTTACCAAGAAGGAGAGTGATGGAGTGCTGCATCAGATGACCTGGCCTCCACAATCCCCCGACCTCAACCCAATTGAGATGGATTGGGATGAGTCGGACAGCAGAGTGAAGGAAAAGCAGCCAACAAGTGCTCAGCATATGTGGTAACTCCTTCAAGGCTGTTGGAAAAGCATTCCAGGTGAAGCTGGTTGAGAGAATGCCAAGACTGTGCAAAGCTGTCATAAAGACAAATGGTGGCTATTTGAAGAATCTCAAATATAAAATATATTTTGATTTGTTTAACACTTTTTTGGTTACTACATGATTCCATATGTGTTATTTCATAGTTTTGATGTCTTCACTAGTATTCTACAATGTAGAAAATAGTAAAAATAAAGAAAAACCCTTGAATGAGTAGGTGTGTCCAAACTTTTGACTGGTACTATATATATATATATATATATATATATATATATATATATATATATATATATATATATATATATATATATATATATTCCGCGCAGCTATGAAATGAAAGCCGATCTAAACAGGTACAGTACACCAAAGAGAAAATACCAGTCTGCTGCCTGCTGTCTAAAATCTACTCACCAATACTGGCTACCTGACCAATATATTAAGACTATTACAGTAAGACATTTAAATTAATAAATTTTATTCATTTTCTAAAACTGGACTATGGTGTGAGATTAACATTCTTTAAATTGACAGAAAGACAAAATCCCAAAATATAGACCAGTGGCAGTTAATGTCCCTTTCACACACAAACAGCCATGGTTCAGTGACAAACAAACCAGAGCCTCTAAAACATTAAAATGTAAGCCAACACTCACCATTCACTTCTGTATACCAAACACTGTTATTTTATTTTATAAACCCTGTTTACTTCTCTCTCTTTTGGCGTGGCACGACGGATGCACCTTGCAATTACTTTTGCTGAAACATTACAGAGGCGCATTTACTTCCTGACCACAGAAGAGCAGCCTCCTCAGAACGAGATAGAGATAGAGATTGAGAGCCAGCGGGTTGGGGTGTGAGCAGGTGTCCTGAATATTAATGTCTACTGCTAACCATGAACCATTAAACACAGCTTGGTAACGATTCATGTGAAGCCTCATATTAAGCCTCAAGTATTCAGAATTGCGCTGTCATAAAAAGAAGGGCAACGTGGAAAAGGGTACAAATACTGGACACCTATTCCCTCCATTTTAAACTTTCACTCCATTTCTGTCTGTTACTCTCTCAGTCTTCTCTTCAATAGTCTACTCACGTCACATAACCGACATCCGGGACAGTGCTTGGCCACACTTCCTGTGTGGGTGCTCATTTTTCATTTCCTGTCAGGGTGCTGGGCTGGTACTCCATCTACCAATAACAAAGAGTGGTAGAAAGTTAGAATGATAAATGGACCGTTTCTTTCTGCACCTCATACTTCCTCATTGAATCTGTCCGATTGGGATTTTCAGATCACTGAGATTGTATAAAGACCCACACGTGTTGTACCAACTCTTTTACTCTTACATTGGAGTCTGGATAAAAACTTTACAGTCATCAACTTTCTTTAGGTATAAGATTTGAAGGTATTCAGGAGGTCATAGGTTCCACTTGAAATATAATTTGAGGAAAATTGTTCCCGTATGCAAGCACAATACAGGCCTATCTATTGTTTGGTGTATTTACAACAATAGTCTCTGTAATTGGATTTGAATGTTGCTGGTAATTAAGTCTTCAGATTTTAAAAGTTGAGGAATAAATGTACATTGATAAGACAGAGATTTCAGTTGTCCTTTAAATTACCAGCATAATTTAGCCAAATTAGGGAAGGAAGTTATAAGGAACAGCGACAAGAAGACAATGGCAAAGGTTTAGCGCAGCTGATGAACCATTACATGAACTTGTGAATGTCCCAGTAATTATGTGGATCTGTTAGTATCCCCTACCAGTGGACCGTTGTATTAGCACACATTTTGCATGAGACTCTAGAGTCTAGAGGTGTTGAAGCAGCCCACAGGCTATCAGAATGGGATGCCAAACTGATTGTAACCACATTGACTCTTAAACAACACAACCAAAGGTGCTACATGACATGTACAAATATGCAGAAATCAAACCACAAACTTGAATGATACCATAAATACCAACAGACTAACATGGTTAAAATACAGTATATTATTAATGTGTGGAAAAACACCAGATGCAAACTAGTCATAGCAGAACACGGCTGAGATCATTAAAAACTCAAACACATTAAATGCACCGTTAGATCTACAAAGTTAATAATGTCCCTAAAAACAACCAAGGTTTCAGAGAGTAACACTTGCCAATTTCGTAGTAAACTTGGATATCGACTTACCCTTTCAAGCTTTCTCAAGGGGTATCATATGATCAGTTAGCTAGTTGTGCTTTAAGTCAGTCTGCTGGGAAAACCTCTTTATTGCTATGTAGACAGACAGTTTACAGCACACGGCGTAATCCCTCCAATGACTTGTCAATCTGGGTGCTGCAGCACAGACCCACAACAAACAAGTCTTACAGACTCTCTCACTCACACAGTGCAAGCCTGGGGTGTCACAGAGAGGACGCATGCAACTCACAAGTCCTGATCCACTCCTCCTCTGTGACAGATACCTCTCATCTCCAGACAACAGATCCCAGACTTCCGCCTCCCTCTGCTCCTCTGCAACACGGATATGCCTGGGAAAGACAGGCGAAGGGGGAGGAGAAGTGGCATGAGAAAGAGCTGAAAGAGGCAACAAGAAGGAAGAAAAGGCACATTGTGATTGGCAGTCAGCGAATGAGAACAAAGACACCTGAGAGCATTGGGCCCCTGCCCACAGCCTAAAGGCAGACACACAGGTTTGGGGAGTGGCTGAACTTCATTCCTGCAACACTGACTGACACAAGTGAGTGAACTGGTAGAGCCTCAGAGCACAGCATGCATTCTTATAAGCAAATACTTATGTTAGCCATGAGTCCCAGTGGACCATATTCCCCCATGTCTACTTACAGAGGAAGAAGATGCTGTTCCAAGAAAATATTCCCTCTGTTTCTTCCTAAGAATTGTTCCATGTAAACCTCAAAATAACAATAAAGGTAAACAAGCACTTTGCATGTGTTGACTTCATAAATT